CCCATCCAATCCACTCACCACTGTGCAGCCAAAGCCATGAAGACAGGACTCAACTATGACAGAGCCATCCACGGCTCAGTTTGCTTCAAATGCCATGTCCCCCAGCTTAATGACACCCTGCATGCCTCCTTCCAGAAAAAGTCCTCAGATGCATGCACCCATCGTGATGTTATGCTGCCCCTGGCATTCTGGATCATTAGCCAGCCCCCCTTGAGGCAGCAAGTTTTGAAGGAGCATGGTGTTGCAGATACATCTGTGGATTCGTTTAAGCACTGGCTGAAGTGCCAATCCTCCACAGAGTACCCCACCAACCTCACCAATGTGCTCATCTGGTACCATGCCTACTGCCAGCAGCAGCATGGCTTCAAGAGTAATGGTGAGGTGCTCCGTTATCGTGAACTTGTGACAAGTGATCACTCATTGTATTTCTTGCCTTCCAGCCTGCAAGTAGGTCTGCTATGGGGGCGTCAGCCACTGCATTAGTCATTAGTCCAAATATAGCCATCAGTTGTTTGTATTTATTTATATTTGGTCTCTGATGTATAAATAAAGCTTCATCATCAAACCTTATTTATCTGCTCCTTGATCCTGAACCACTACCTTCCTAGTTTGGCACTCTAGTGATCTGAAAGCTTACCGTCACTGCTTTTATTGCAATGGCTAAATCCTCTGCTACCCTCAAGACCAATAATCCTGCCCCTGAGGCTGGAAAGGTGAGTTTTGCTTATGTAACCAATTGGAATCAGCTTGGCACAGCCACTCATCGCTATTTATAGAAAAAGGTATGCCCTCGTTCTTCACCTGTCCCTAGAAATACAATGGATCATCGACTTTTGTATTTTTTACAGGAAAAGAAGGTTGCCACTGTGGTGAGTTGGCTTTTTCACAGTGCTGGAAAAGCTGAGTGCACATGCCTTTTCCTCCAGCGCAAGTCTGTGACACATCTCTTGGAAAATACTGTGAGTTGCCGTTTACTATGGCCACTTGGAATTCAAAAAGTCATGACTTTCTGTATTTTCAGACCAAGGCAGCCACTGCTCGCCAGCAAGCGCAAGAAGACCGTGATGCTATCAACAAGAGCATTGAGGCCATGACAAGTGGCTATGGTCTCATTTCATTCATTGGCAATGACGATGGCAAACAGGGCCCTGAGATTCAGCCCAATCCTTACAATCCTAGGCTTCTGGTAAAGGCAACCCTCAAAGACTTATCTCTTAGCTTCCAAGTGGATGGAATTCTGAACATGGTGCCTGAGCATGCTGTCGTGATCATGACCAACGACGACACTTTGGATACCAGCACACTGGTGTCTGCGGAGGGTGAGTCCATTCCCCTTTAATTGTGATCTCTCTGATAGGCCGTCCCAGAGCTTCAAAGTGGCACCAAGAAGCCTACTCGGTTGACCTGGAAGAACCGCGAGGGCTATGTTGCTCTGCTTGCAGGTAACAACCGCAGGGCTGCCATCCAAGAGATTATCTCAGGACACATCAAGGCGATCGACCGGATGCAGAAAGCTTTGGCAGAACCCAACCTTGATGAAGAGGAGCATCGGCAGTGGGCTGGAATGCTGAAGAAAGAAAAGGAGCTCTTTGAGAAGGAGCATGTTTGGCTTGTTCGCGTCATCGACTATGGTACAATCCACTCCAGTCCTAAATACAATGGTCACTCACTTGTTGTATTTTCATACCAGAGAAACTCAAGGACCATCCAGACCGTGCTCTTTTGGTGGACACTCTGACCTCTAACAGAGCAATTCCCCATGCAACTGATGAACCCACTGACAATCTCATTCGAGCCTTGAATGTCATTAGGATTGCCTCCCAGCCAAACCCAACCAGCTTCCAGGTGGACAAGGACAACTTACAGGCGACCATTGACAGCCAGATCAAGAAGCACAATGAGAAGGACTTTGTTATTATCATGAAGGATGACAAGTTCAGGAATATGCTTTCAGACCTTTATCTCTGGTCTCATCTTCAGCAAAGTCCTTTCTTCTCTTGCCATGGATGGGGAGAGTGTATCCGGCAACCTCGTGGTTGTGTAAGCTTGACCTTTGTTTCCTTTATGGCTCATAGTTGACTACTGCTCTCTGGAAGCTCTTTTCCATAGCTGCCCACCACATGATCAAAATCTTGGCCTTCCTGGGTGACCCGAGGCCTCTTCCACCCTATGTTGAAAGTGGTGCAAGGACAGAGGATCTGATGTCTCAAGTCCTGACAGATGCCAAGTCTATCTTGAACACTGCTATTCCACAGTATGATGCTGTGGGGGTTGTCTTTGCTGAGGCCGATCGCCTATACCAGGACTATCTGCAGCCTGTTATGTCTGGCTGGGCCCTTCATGCTGGAGATGAATCTGGCAGGCGCGAGGCTTTTGCAGATGCCTGGTACAAGTACAAGGATCAACTGAAGATCATTGTCAAGAAGGCATCCTCCAAGGTTGGCTGGGACAAGCAAGAGCAGCAGGCTCTGGACACTTTTATGAACAAGTTTGACTGGGTCAGCTCTGGACTGTTCACAAGGAATGCCTTCTTTTTTGGGGTGGCATTTCCTCTTCCCTGTGGGAGATTCCTCAATTTCATTGACCAGGAGCTGGCAAGAGGACAGGCCTGGCTTTCACTTGTAAGCTCTTGTTCCTGTGGTTCTTGAAATATAATGAGTCATCACCTTTTGTATTTTCCAGATGGCCTATGAACTGGAGCCTTTCTGTGATAGCCAGTGGGATGCCAAAAGCTCTAGGGAATTTTTTGGCTCGTGGGATGGGGTGTACAAGAACCTCTCGCTTCATCATCAGTTGGATCAGAAACAAATAGAAAAGATATTTATCCGGGTGAGTCCCCCACGTGTATGCACAGCCTTGTTCAGGAGACCCATCTGCCTTTACCCAGGTTCTAAAGATCTTCTTTCAAGAGAGGCACCATCTGGTTTTGCAGCTGGACAGTGCCTTGTCAAAGGCACCATGGTTTTCCAGGCTGGCCCAAAGGAAAGCCCCCAATGGTGTCATTCTTCCAACAGATGATGAGCTGTTTGAGTGGCTGAATGACAAGTATGAGCATTGCAAGCCTGCGCGGACATCCAAGGACCATCTCTTTACCTCAGAGATGTCTGATTTCTTCAAGCTGGCCTAATATTATACTATCTGCAGCGAACCCTTCGCTGCAGCATGCCATGCCGTGAAATTTCCTTATATGGTAGTCATGCCAGCCCCAATTGGGATGCGGCTGTGTCATGCCCGTCCCAAAAAGGTTCATGCCATGCCATGCCATGCCATGCCATCTCATGCCACTCACAAAAATCCTATCATTTCCTCATGCCATCTCATGCACTCTCATGCCGTGTTCTGCCTAGAGACCTCTTTTGTGCATGCCATGGCATGCACTCCATCAGCATCTGCAAATAAAATGGCTTGTCTGCTTTTGTATTTGATTCACATCGTGCATCATTCCATGCCATTCAATGCCCTCTCATGCCACACTCCATCCACAGAGCATATTTGTTCATGCCATGGCATGCACTCCATTGGTTTTGATGAATACAA